CGCGCAGCACGGCACTCCCCCGGCCCACGCGAGCCCGCGCCGCGGAGGGGAGGAACCGGGGAGACCGCGCGCTGGATTTGAATCGCCGCCGCTCGGCGCGCGGAACGTCGGCCGGGAGAGGAGCGTGCTGCGGAGCCACGCCCACGGCATACGTCACAGGACCACGCCCACTTCCACCGCCACGCCCCTAGCCGTGACTGCAGGCCAGTGCGCCTGCGCGCTTCAGGCTGTGCCAACTCCGCACCACTGCGCATGCTTGGCGGCCCCAGCGCAGGCTAAGACGAATGGGCTGCGTATCAAGAGCCCGGAGGCTGGACCCGCCGTGCGCACCGTCTAACCACCGGCATGACCCCGGGCCTGGCGCCCTCCCGGGCAGAAGGAGACCCCGCGTTAGCAGCTGGGTGGAAGTCTGGGGGGGGGGGTCTGGCGCTAACAGGTTGAGATTTTTGCCATCTGCTCCCGATTTCCGCCTGACTGATGAAGGGTGGGCTCAGTTACAAAGCCAGGAGGTCGGGCGCAGGGGAGAGGGCCGCGGGCCCCTGGAGAACGGCTGGCAGTGGGGGCCGTGGTTGGTGAGTTGAAACCAGGCCCTGGAAAATGCGAGATTGTTTCAAAAATCCCGCCCCGTCCTTCCTAGTCCTCACATCTGACTGTGTGTGTGGGGGGGGGGGGGAGTGTGGAGACGGACCTGGGAACTAGAGTCAGGCCCGCACACCCAGGGCCACTCAGCATGTCTTCCTCTGAGTGGTCTGTTGCTCTACGCCTTATTTGCATAGGGCCACTATGGTTGGCCGTTCACCTCATTTGCATAGGACTATGGTCGGTAGTTTCACATCTCATTTGCATAGGACTATGGTCGGTGGTTTCACACCTCATTTGCATAGGACTATGGTCTGTTCTACACCTCATTTGCATGAGACCGACTTACGGTCGTTTGTTCTACACTTCATTTGCATAGGACCCACTATACTCGATTGTTCCACACCTCATTTGCATAGGACTGACTATGGTTGGTTGTTCTACACCTCATTTGCATAGGACCGACTATGGTCTCATTTGCCAAGAGCCAACCAAAGGAGCACAGCTTTAGGGTATTAAAAAATCCCTCCACCCTGGGCGCCGGTGGCTCCGGCCTGTCATCCCAGAGATCTGAGGATCGTGGTTCAAAGCCAGCCCCGGCAGGAAAGTCTGTGAGACTCTGATCTCCGATAAACCACCAGAAAACTGGAAGTGGCGCTGTGTCTCAAGCAGTAGAGCGCCGGCCTTGAGCTGAAGAGCTGAGGGACAGCGCCCAGGCCCTGAGTTCAAGCCCCACGACTGACCCCAACAAACTAAGCCCCTCTAAGTACCATAAAAGCAAACAAACGCAGAGGTCGGAAACCCATTCTACTAGTGTACAAATCTGCTTTCTTGACAGCGCGCTAGAGCCTGCACCCTTACAGCCAGTAATGTAGAAACTTAACACGAGGTGCCTTTTTAGTCCTTTTTGAGCTCTTTTCTTTTCTTTCTCCTGTGTGTTCATTACTGCTTTGTTGACGGGATACCTGGCTAGGAAAATCAGACTTCCTGGATGACCTTCAACCCCTGAATTTCTCATAAAACACAGATAATGGGACCTAGCTTAAGGAATCTTATAAAAATGAAATGAGCCGGCCTCCTGACACACGGGCCTAACCGGTGGCCTGCCACGTCGGGAAGGCCCGTCTTGTTAGCTGACTAATCTTGTGTTGGGCTTTCGCTTCCTTGTTACTGGGATTTCAGGCCAAGGGTGCTGCTGCTATTCCCACTCTCCGCTCCAAACTCCCAGGCCCCGTATGGTCTCAGAACAGATCGGATATTAGCCTGAGAACAGATACCACCCTTGATGCTGAGAGGCCATAGTACAATGTAAATCTAACAGTGGGAATCAAAAAAAAAAAAGAAAAGTAACAATGAGTAAAGTTGATCCTGATGATGAATGAGGCAGATTATGAGGATCGGGCCTTTGGCACCTGACATATAAGGTGGTTAGAGTTACATTTCTTTTGGGACAGTGTCGGAAGAGATCATCAAAGGTTATCATTGGGGCTGGGCAGGTGGCTCAGTGGTAGAGCGCTTGCTCTCCATGCATGAAGCCCTGGGTTTGATTGCTCAGTTCTACATGCACAAAAAAAGCCAGACATGGTACTGCGGCTCAAGTGGTAGAGTGCTAGCCTTGAGCAAAAAAGCTCAGCGACAGTGCTCAGGCCCTGAGTTCAAGCCCCAGTAATGGCACAAGCGAGAGAGGGCGAGCTGTGGGCAGCGCACACCGGGGAATCGGGGTGGAGGGAGGACACAGAAAAGCGCACAGAAGTACACCTGCAGTTTAGGAGGGCTGAGGGAACTTGGCTCAGGGCTGGCTTAGTTTGTTCTGTTTTATCCCCGAACTAAGGCTTGAACTCGGGGGCTGGGCACACTTGCTTGGCTTTTTCGCTCAAAGCTGGTGCTCTACCACTTGAGCCACAGCTCCACTTCCGGCTTTTGGGGGGTTAAGAGGGAGTGGAGAGTCTCTCTGGGATCTGTCTGCCCAGAGTCGGCTTTGAACTTTGACCCTCAGATCTCAGCCTCCCGAGTAGCCCAGGTGATAGGAGTGAGCCGCACCGGGCACCTGGCTCTCGTTTCTTTCACCTGCACCTGTGTGTGGGGACCGTGCCCGCGTGGAGATGGGGCCTGCAGCCAGACCACGGGAACAAGGGGTCTGGAGTGTGTGTGAGTGTGTGTGTGAGTGTGTGTGTGTGTGTACCAAAGTTTCAGATGACTGTCATTTGCTTTTATTTCTTTTTTTGATCTGAGACCGGGACTGGAACATGGTATCTGAGGCTTTCACTCACCAGAGCCACAGCCGCACCCCTCAGATGACAGGTCAAGCACCCACGCTGCGAGCAAGGGGAGGGACAATTCTGAGGCCTGAGCTCCCGCTCCCTCTGTCTAGGACACGGAAGGACAGACGTCCGGAGCCGGCCTTGCTCACTCGGGCTGACGGCCAACTCCCAAGGCCTGGAGGGAAGCCAGTGAGCCTTTCGATGAAAGAAAAAAAATGAGATTTATTGGCAAATAAGATCACAATGAGAAAACAAACGAACCGACGGCTGGAGGAAGGCCCGGCGGAAGGCGCGCGGCGAGGTCCGGGCTGGCGTCTCAGGGCTGATCAGGAGCCGCCGTGCCCTCCGGGCACACGTGGGAGGCCTGGAACTGAACCTTCTGGACGTGCTGGGTCTGGCCGCCGCGCCGCTCGGGCTGCAGCCGCTGCAGCCGCGTGCCCATCACCAGCCAGGCGTTGTGGACCTGGTGCCGGCAGCGCGTGTAAAAGGGCCTGGTGACCCCCCGGCACCACAGCCAGAGCCTCTTCTGGTAGCCGTCATCCTCTTCCCGCAGGAGCCCCTTAAACAGGTGCTTCTTCCTTTTGGGGGATTTGATGCCGGAGGCCCTGAGGAAGGTGATGCTCATCTGGCTGAGCCGGGAGATCCTGGACGCCTGCGGCTTCAAGCTCACCTCCAGCTTCTGCATGATGTCGCTGGCCATCTGACGCACGGACGCCTGGGAGTCGTTCTTCATGCACTCCAGATCTGAAACCCACATCACCCCGCAGCGTCTGCAAGCCATCCCGGAGGCTGAGAGCTGACGAGCCCGGTTCAAGGTCAACCCCGGGCAGGAAAGTCCGTGAGACTCTCTCATCTCCAAGGAACCACCAGAAAAAAAAGCCAGAAGCTGTGGCTCAAAGGGGCAGAGCGCCAGCCTTGAGCGAAAAGAGCTCAGGGACAGCGCCCAGGCCCTGAGTTCAAGCCCCATGACCACCACCACCACCAACAACAACAAGAACAAGACAGGACTGGAAGCGTAGCTCAGTGGTCAGAGCACCTGCCTAGCAAGCACAGGTTCATGAGTTCAAAGCCCAGTACTGCAAAAATAAGTGAGGCTCCCGATCAGCCACTAGGTGGCGCCCACACCCCGGTGGTCCAGGCCCCTGGGGAGCAGGCACTCACTGGTCTGAATCTCTTCCACATCATCTTCATGGATAGCACACATCTGTATGTTCTTGATGATTAACTCTACGGAGAAGACAGACATAAAGTCACAGGAGGCAGGGGTCAGGAGGAAGAAGGTTCGAGAACAGCCAGGGAGACCCCATCTCAACTAGTATAAACGCAGGGCCTGGTGGTGCGCTCATCATTCCAGGACACGGGAAGCAGGAATGAGGAGGACCATGGTCCAGGGTCAGCCCGTCTGAAAAACAACTGACTGACAGGGCACCAGGGTCTCAGAGAACCGTTCCCAACAGACGAGAAAAACCTTAAATGCTGCAGAGCCTTGGGTGTGAGAAAATTCCCATACCTGAAAGAATGGGAGCATCGGAGATTTACTGCTGCGTCCGGCTTAAGAAAAAAAGACAAGCCGGGCGCCGTGGCTCTCGCCTGTCATCCCAGCTACTCAGGAGGCTGAGATCTGAGGATCACGGCTCAAAACCAGCCCAGGCAGGAAAGTCCATGAGACTCTGATCTCCAATAAACCACCAGAAAACCGTAAGTGGCACTGTGGCTCAAGTGGTTGAGCGCCAGCCTTGAGCACAAAGAGCTCAGGGACAGACACTCCTGGAGTTCAAGCCCCAGGACCAACAATAAAATAAAATAAAATCTGGACGTGTTAAATCATTTTATAAATCCAAGCGTGCAATGGAAGTGATTTGATACAGTCATTAAAAGTAACACTGAAGGGGCTGGGAAGGTGGCTCAGTGGTAGAGTGCTCACCTAGCATGCATGAGGCCCTGGGTTCGATTCCTCAGTATTATATACACAGAAAAAGTCAGAAGTGGCACTGTGGCTCCAGTGGTAGAGCGCTAGCCTTGAGCCAAAAGAGCTTAGAAATAGTGCCCAGGCCCTGAGTTCAAGTCCTAGGACTGGCAAACAACAACAACAATAAAAAAGACATTGAAGCCGGGCGCTGGTGGCTCACGCCTGTAATCCTAGCTACTCAGGAGGCTGAGATCTGAGGATCGCGGTTCAAAGCCAGCCCAGGCAGGAGAGACTGTGAGACTCCTATCTCCAATAAACCACCAGAAAACCGGAAGTGGCGCTGTGGCTCAAGTGGTAGAGCGCTCGCCTTGAGCTGAAGAGCTGAGGGACAGCGCCCAGGCCCAGAGTTCAAGCCCCATGACCGACAAAAAAAAAAAAAAAAAGACATTGAATTAATAGAGCACATTGAAAGCACAAAGCTAGGGTAAGGAAACACATTAAAAACTATCAAAAAAAAAAAAAAAAACCTCGCAAGAGGGAGGCCCTGGGCTCAAACCCCCGCTGCATGGAGACGGACACGCAAAGGAAGACAGTGTCCCAACTGCCCGGGGTTTGTTGGCGTGGCATCCTGGGGGTACCGGGGTTTGTCTTCGGGGCTCGCACACGGGCTTCTGCGTGACCGACTCCCAGCCCCAGGCCAGCCCAGACCACCATCCGCCTGTTCACACGGCCTGCCGTGGCTGGGATGGCAGGTGTGAGCCAGCACGCCTAATGACTGGTGGAAGGGAGTCGTGCACGCTTCTTTTCCTGCCCCGGCTGGCTTTGAACTGCGATCCTCCCCATCTCAGCCTCCTGAGCAGCTGGCAGTGCAGGCGTGAGCACCGGCGCCTGCTGTGTTTGTTCCTATTTGTGTAGGTAGTAACTTTTTACATTCTTAAAAATGGCGGTGACTCTAGCATTATTTTCTTCTTTTTGTCAATCTGATTTTTGTTGTTGTTGTTTTCTAACACATGCTACTGATACATTGTGAAGCAGCAGCATTTTGGAAATTCCATGAGATTCCAGTAGATGATTTTTTTTGTCTTTTTTTTTGGTTGGTTATGGGGCTTGAACTCAGGGCCTGGGCACTGTCCCTCAGCTCTTCAGCTCAAGGCGGGCGCTCTACTACTTGAGCCACAGCACCACTTCCAGCTTTTTCTGCTTCTGTGATGCTGAGGAATCGAACCCAGGGCCTCCTGCATGCGAGGTGAGCGCTCTACCACTGAGCCACCTGCCCAACCCCTAGATCAGTGTCTTTCCGTCCTGTCACAACTGCATGGTCTTGTCCCCAACAAAGCAGCGCCCGGACAGCATGGTGGAGGCCAGAACTGGGGAGCCCGGCCTCCGCTCCTCCCCAGAGCCTTTTGAAGCCAAATCAGGGGCCTAGCCCAGCTCAACACCTCTGAGCAGGAAGGGGGGGCCTGCTGGGTCACCCCGGGGCAGGTCCGGGGGCCTCTCTGGGCTGTGGCTGGGCTCCGGGCGGGTGGGGAGGCTGGGGGGGGGGCCAAGGGGAGCCGGCCAGGGTCTCACCTATGAAGTTGAGCGCGGCCACACGCAGGAAGACCTGGTGGCTACTCAGAAAGCCAAAGCTCTGTGTCAGCAGCTCCCCCACCAGATGCAGCCGCCCCGAACTGACCTGTGGGGCGGAGGCAGCCGGCACTGACCCCACAGAACCATCCGGACCGTCACCCCTCACCCCGTCGACAGGGCCGCCCGGCCTGCCCCCACCCTTCACCTGCGTCCCCATCCCAAAGTGGCCCAGGCCAGCGGGGGGGGGGGGGCGGGAAGCAGGGAGGGGGCCTCCCCCTCCCGCGCCTTCACCCCCAGCCCACAGGAAACCCACGGGTGGGCAGGGACTGCGGGCAGGCCAGCTGCAAGGAGGAAAGAGAGGGGAGGGACGGAGAGGGGAGGGGAGAGGGGAAAGGAAGGAAGAGGGAGGGAGGGAGGGGGGAGGAAAAAAGGGAGGAAGGAAGGGGGGAGGGAGGGAGGGAGGGAGAGGGAGGGAAGGGAAGGAGGAAAGAAGGGAAAGGAAAGAAGGAAAGGAAGAGAGGGAGGGAAAGGAGGGAGGAAGAAAGGAAGGAAGGAAGGAAGGAAGGAAGGAAAAAAGGGAAAGAAAGAGTCCAACAGCCTGGCCCCCCTGCTTGGGAAGCCCCGCCCAGCTCTCTTCTAGTGAACGCCACTGCTGTGTGCTTGTTTGGTTTTTGCTCCAGGTTTCCCTGTGTGGCTCAGGCTGGCCTCAAACTCACAATCCTCCCACCTCAGCCTTTTTTCTGAGTGTTGGGATTACAGGCATGCACGCACGCGCACGCACGCACGCGCACACACACACACACACACACACACACACACACACACACACAGCTTGCTAGGCCTTGCTGGCTTTCCAGCAAGGATTCCAGGTCTCTGCGCAGCTGCATTTCACAGGACCAATAGACATTTCCCCCCAGTACTGGGGTTTGAACTCGGGCCCTTGCATGTGCTCTGCTCACTTGCTTGGCTGGCACTTTGCCCGTTACGCCACTTCTCTAACCTGGCCTTTTTTTCCCCTCTAGTTAATTGAAAATGAGACTCTCACAGATGATTCTGCCTGGGGTGGCTGGGAACCTCGATCCTCCAGATCTCAGCCCCCTGAGTAGGTAGGACGACAGGTGTGAGCCACCGGCGCCCAGAGCTGCAGACTCCCAACCTCCTGACAACGGCCTCTGGCCTCTTCCCAGCGCTGTCTGCGGAGGACCGAGGTCCTGCAGCTAGCGTGCCTCCCAGCCCCGAGGCCAGGGCTGAGCAGCCAGCAGTAGACTTCGGGAGTCTACCGAAGGTGCAGGATCCGACGTGGATGGCCGTGCTGCCCCTAGCGCACCCAGCCCGGCCCGGGCCCCGGGGCCCCCCAGGGACGCACACCCACCAGGAACTTGCAGGTCTCCTCCAGCACCTGGATGTGGTCGCTGAGGGTGGTGTGCCTGAACATCTGCGTGAGCGACGACCAGCCAATCACCTTCGTCCACTCGGTCAGGGCCCTTCGACAGGCCTGGGGAGGAGACAAGGCCGTGCCCAGCGCCCGCTCCCCAGGCCCAGAAGGCTGGGAAACCACAGGGAGAGGGGCTGGGGCCAGGGCTGGAGCTGGAGCCAGAGCCAGAGCCAGAGCGAGTGTCAGAGTCAAAGCCAGAGTGAGAGTCTGAGCCAGAGCCAGAGCCAGAGCTGGAGCCGGAGCCAGAGCTAGAGCCGGAGCCAGAGTCAGAGCCAGAGCTGGAGCCAGAATCAGACTGAGTGTCAGAACTGGAGCTGGAGCTGGAGACAGGGCTGGAGCCAGAGTCAGAGCCAGAGCCGGAGCCAGAGCCAGAGCCAGAGTCAGAGCTGGAGCCGGAGCCAGAGCCAGAGCCAGAGCCAGAGCTGGAGCCGGAGCCAGAGCCAGAGCCAGAGCCAGAGCTGGAGCTGGAGACAGAGCTGGAGCCAGAGCCAGAGTCAGAGCCAGAGCCGGAGCCGGAGCCGGAGCCAGAGCCAGTGCCAGAGCCAGAGCTAGAGTCAGAGCCAGAGCTGGAGCCGGAATCAGAGCCAGAGTCAAGAGTCAGAATCAGAGCCAGAGCCAGAGTGAGAGCTGTAGCCGGAGCTGTAGCTGAAGTCAGAGTCAGAGCCAGAGCAGAAACCAGAGCTGGAGCTGGAGCCAGAGCCAGAGTCAGAGTCAGAGTCAGAATGAGAGCCAGAGCTAGAGACAGAGCTGGAGCAGGAGCCAGCGCCAGAGCCAGAGTGAGAGCTGGAGCCAGAGTCAGAACCAGAGTCAAAGTCAGAGTCAGAGTCAGAGCCAGAGCCAGAGTGAGAGCCAGAGCCAGAGCCAGAGCCAGAGCTGGAGCCGGAGCTGGAGCCAGAATGAGAGCCAGAGTGAGAGCCAGAGCCAGAGCCGGAGCCGGAGCTGGAGCCAGAGCTGGAGCTGGAGCTAGAGTCAGAGTCAGAGTGAGAGCCAGAGGCAGAGACGGAGCTGGAGCAGGAGCCAGAGCCAGAGCGAGAGTGAGAGCTGGAGCCGGAGCTGGAGCCAGAGTCAGAGCCAGAGTCAGAGTCAGAGTCAGAGCCAGAGCCAGAGCTGGAGCTGGAGCCGGAGCCAGAGTCAGAGCCAGAACCAGAGTGTCAGAGTCAGAGGCAGAGCCAGAGCCAGGGCCTGAGCTGGAGCTGGAGCCAAAACCGGAGCCAGGGCTGGAGCCAGGGCCCACCAAGAAGTGCACGGAAAAGGAGCAGCCCACATGGATCATGGCACAGATCAGCCATGGAAAGAAGGGAGGGAGAGACAGGGAGGATAGGAGGAGGGAAGGAGGGATGGGAGAGGGAAGGAGGGAGGAAAAAAGGAGGGAAGGAAGGCAAGAGGGAGGGAGCAAAGAAGGAAGAAGAAAGGGAGGGAGAAGGAGGGAAGAAGGAGAGATAGAAGGAGGGAATGAGGGAGGGGAAGGAAGGAAGGAGGGAAGGAAGGAAGTTAGGAAGGAAGGATGGAAGAAGGGAAGGAAGGCGGGCGGGCGGGCGGGAGCGGCCGCACCTTGACCACCTCCACGTTGTTGTCCTGGATGCTGAGCAGCAGCGGGACAAGGAAGGAGTAGATCTCCTTGCGCACCATCATCCCGGGCTTGAACTGGAACACGCGGTGCAGCATGTGGCCCAGCGCCGAGGTGGCCGACACCCGCACCTGGTCTCTCTCCTGCCGGGGGAGGGGGAGGAGCGGATGGAGCCTGGGGGCCCTTGTCCCCGCCCCTCCCCTCCCCCCCAGGCCTGGCTCCCTCCTGCCAGGCTCAGCCCCACCCCAAGACTGGAGAGCCGGTCATTCCCTTTCAAGTACCCCACATAAGACAAGATTCGCACCAGAGACGCGGCCTGAGCTCATCTTACTCCAACACCCTTCACATCTACAGCTTGCAACTCCATCAACAAGGCCTGCTTACTGATTTTCCTGGTACTACGTATGCCTTGAATTCAGGGCTGGCACCCGCGTGGCTTTCTTGCTGTTGGCTGGTGCTCTACCATTTGAGCAGTGCCTCCCATCTGGCATTTTGCTGGTGGTTGTTCTTGTTTTTAAGAGATGGAGTCTCAAGGATGTTTCTATCCAGACTAGCCCTAATCTAGCTAAGATTACAGGTATGAACTTTGTTTCCTTCTATTCTGTTCTTTAAAGAGGATCATAAAAAGACAACAGCCAGACATGGCAGCTCGTGCTTGTCAATCAATCCTAGTGACTCAGGAGGATCACAGGTGGAGGCCGGTCTCCATGGAGAAGGCATGGGACGGCACGCATCTATCCTCCGAGCTACGCGGAAAATGCGAATAGGAGGATCACAGTCCAAGCCAGGTGAGGGGGAAAAAATCGAGACCCTATTCCAAAAAATAGGTCGGGGGCTGGGCAGGTGGTTCAGTGGTAGAGCGCTTGCCTCACATGCACGAGGCCCTGGGTTCGATTCCTCAGCACCACATAAGCAGAAAAAGCCGGAAGTGGTGCTGTGGCTCAAGTGGTACAGTGTTTGCCTTGAGCTGAAGAGCTGAGGGACAGCGCCCAGGCCCAGAGTTCAAGCCCCACACCGGCAAAAAAAAAAAAGACTAAGTCTAAGCAGGGGGTTGGAGTCCTGGCTCAAGTGGTAGAGCGTCAGCCAATGAGCAAAAGCATCTGATACTGAGTTCAAGTCTTGGTGTTAGACCCAAAGAAAAGGAAGAAAGAAAAAAGATGAATCTAAGCAACACAGCAACACTCCATCTTCTAACAAACAAATCAACCCTCCAAACCTACTTTACAGAGACGCTTAAAGCCTGGGAAAGAGTAGAAGCGAAGGCTCTCAAATCAGAGATGAAGTCTAGGTGAAGAAACAGAAGATAAAGCCAGGCGCCGGTGGCTCCTCAGGAGGCTGAGATCTGAGGGTGAGACTCTTTATCTCTAATAAACCACTCAGAAAAAGCCGGAAGGGGTAGAGCGCCAGCCTTGAGCACAAAGCAGCTCAGGGACAGTGCCCAGGCCCTGAGTTCAAACCCCAGGCCAAAAAGAAAATTAATAAATACAGAACTAAGGGATCATGAGCTGGGCACAGGAACCACACACCTGGAATCCTGGCTACTCAAATCCCTGAGCCCGCAGAGATCTTTAGTGATCCCTCTGCTCGGGCAGAGCGTCATGTGGACCGGGCACAGGCACCGTAGCCCCCGCCTGCCGTCCCAGGGGGCGGGGGGGGGCATGGAGAGGATGGCCTTGGGGCTCAGAGGCTCACAGCCTCGACATCCTGGCCACGGCGTGGACCTGGCTTTGGGGTTTGGCAGACATCCCCGGAGAAAGTTCCAGAAGGCCAGAGCCATACGTCGTTGATGAGCGGGCAGAGCTGCCTGGAGACGTCGCAGAAGAGCAGCTTGGTGTCCTCGCCGGGCCGGTGGTAGATGATGTTCCGCAGGCCCTTGACCGCCTGCACCGTCACGCGCAGCTCGCCCTTCAGGAAGGTCCGCAGGAACGGCACCAGGCTCTTCAGGTCCTTCGACTGGGGGGGGGGGGGCGGGCGGGGAGACGCAGCATGGGCTACCCGGGGGGGGCATCTGGAAGGACTGGCGGTGGAAGGCCCCGGGCGGAGGTCCAGGGCGGGGGATGCCCCCCCCGGGAGGGGGGCTCACGTGTGTGGGGTGCAGCGCCAGGTTGCTGATTCCCCGGAGACCGATCTCCTTCATGATAAGGCTGGGCTCCTTGGCCCAGTGGATGAGATTGCCCACGCAGTCCTGCCCGATGGTCTCTGCCACCGAGCGATGCCACAGGAGCTGCGGGGGAGGGGGGAGAGGGAGGCCAGGGCTGCGGGGGAGGGGCGAGGCCGGGGCCCCCAGGTGCCCGGGGAGGGCTGCACCAGCCCCCCCCTGGTGGGGCCTCACCTGCACGTAGAGCGTGCGGGCCGTGAGCCTCTGGCGGTGGTCGGGGCTGTACAGCATGTTCTTGATGTGGTTCAGGATCCTCTGCAGGATGTTGGGCTCACACTTCTTCACGATGCCGCTGAGCACCCCGGGAAAGAAGCGGGCTTGGGGATGGCGGCCGGGGAGCGGGGAGACCCCAGGGCTGTGGGGGTGGGGGAGGGCAGGGCCCGGGGGGGGGGCCCACCTGGCCAGGTCCATCATGCCGATGTAGTAGGTCTTGGGGCTGGACAGCAGGTCCCAGCAGTGACGCTGCCTGGCATACTCCGCCACGCCCTCGTACGCCGCGCCCACCAGCACCAGCCTCACCACCTCCAGGGCGCAGCTGGCAGCCGCGCACGCGAGCAGAGAACACGGGTCACACCCCGGCTCCCACCCCACGCGGCCGGCCAGCTAGGACAGGGTTCTACCCCCCTCCCCCCACCGTGGCCAGGCTCTGCTTTCCCAGCATGCCATGGAACCTTGCTGCCACCGCTCTGCCATTTCACCCTCCCAACCCAGACCCCCTCCACCCAGAATCCTGCGATGGAGACCAGAGACACAGAGACTCACACAGAGACACACACAGAGACACAGAGACACAGAGACAGACACAGAGACACAGACACAAACATAAAGACAGACATAAGAGACATAGAGACAGAGACACAGAGACAGACAGAGAGACAGAGAGACAGAGACAGAGAGAAACAGCCAGAGACAGAGAAAGACAGAGACAGAGAGAGCCAGAGCCAAGAGAGACAGACAGACAGAGATAGAGGAGAGACACACAGAGACACAGACACAGACACAGACAGAAACACAGACACAAACATAAAGACAGACATAAGAGACAGAGAGAGAGACAGAGACAGAGACAGACAGAGAGACACAGACACAGACACAGACAGAGAGACAGAGACAGAGACAGAGCCAAGAGAGACAGACAGATAGAGATAGAGAGGGAGAGACACACAGAGATACAGAGACAGAAAGAAAGAGGGAGAGACGGAGACGGAGAGGCAGAGGGGCCCGGTGCTGTGGGGCCTCGATCCGTTCTCCCACACACAGACGCGGCCGCGGCCTCTGAGCAGAAACATCGTGAGCACTTCCCCACTGTGTGCTCACTGTCAGCCACTGAGCCGCCCACGCCCGTCCCCCACCACTCAGGAGGCTGAGGCTGGAGGCTCAGGATTTGAAGCCAACCTGGCCAAAAGGAAATCCGCGAGACTTTAACCTCCCCTTAGCCACACACACACACACACGCACACACGCACGCACGCATGCACTCACACATGCACACATGTACACACTCACACACACAGCTCATTTGAATAATGTATCCCAAAGTCAAAGGGAAAAAAATATGTCATCTTCTTATTGAGGGGCGCCGGCCCCCGTTCCACACCGGGCGTGGGGTTCCCCGAGCGAGCGACGGCCCGCTGACCTGGTGGGGTCCAGGTGCTTGCCCTTGCGGCGCGCCGTCTCCTCGCTGGAGTAGACCAGCAGCTTCTGCGGGATGTTCTGCTCCATGACCCAGTACAGGTGGCACAGCACGGCCAGCAGCAGCCGCGGGTACAGCTCCTGGATGGCCTCGTGGCACAGCGGCCCCGACAGCATCTCGTGGAGGGCGCACACCGCCTGCGGGGACACGGGGGGTTCACCAGGCCTGCCCCCACACACACACGTGCCCTGTGGTTGCGGCTAAGGAGGGGGAGGGCCACGGTGCCAAGCTCTCGCTCTGCTGTCTTGGCACTGGGGAGGAAAAGGGAGCAGGCGTGGAGGGGGCAGTGCCAGCCAGTAGAGAAACTGAGGCAGGAGGGCCGCTTGTGGGGCAGGCCCGGCAACATAGGGAAAGAAGGAAAGAGGGATAACAGAAAAGAGGGAGAGATGGAGGGAAGGAGATAGGGATGGGAGGGAAGGAGGGAAGAGAAGGAAAGGAGGGAAGGGAAGGAAGGGAAAGGAGGGATGGAGGGATGAAAGGAAGCAAGGGAGGGAGGGAAGGAAGGAAGAAAGAGGGAGGGAGGGAAGGAAGGAAGGAAGAAAGGAAGAAAGAGGGCGGGAGGGAAGAAAAGAAGGAAGGAAGAAAAGCAAGAGAAGGAAGGAAGGGAGAGAAGGAAGGAAGGAAGGAGGGAGGGAGGGAGGGAGGGAGGGAAAGAAGAAAGGAAAGCAAGAGAAGGAGGGAGGGAGAGAAGGAAGGAAGGGAAAGGAGGGAGGGAGGGATGGGAAGGAAGGAAGGAAAAAGGAAGGGAGAGATGAAGGAAGGAAGGAAGGAAGGAAGGAAGGAAGGAAGGAAGGAAGGAAGGTTGGGAAGAAGGGAGGGATGGAGGGAGGAGGCCGATGCAGCAATGACTTGGGGAACACGTTGTGCCCCCTTCCTTGCTCCCTCGTCCCCCATGAGACCCCAGGCGCCATGCCGGCATGAGGCCCAGAGGGCTGCGTGGCCCTGCAACCCATGTTCTCCCGGGCCGGGCCCCTTCCACGCTGAAAGCCGGCCTGCGCCCCAATCCTAGAGACCCTCCGGCTGGCCGACCCCTGCCCCAGCGGCCCTCCACTGACCGCCACGGGCTGCAGGGCCATCTCCTTGGTCTCCTCCCGGTTCTTCTTCTCCAGGATGGCGATGAGCACTTGCAGGATGTTGATGGCCGTCTCCCGCTGGGCGCCGAAGGCTTTCCACAAGGCCAGCTTGGTTCTGCAAGGACACAGGACAGCACGTCCGTCCGTCTGTCCTTCCATCATGGGCTGGGCAGAGTCGGGGTGGGGGGGCTCCAGGAAGGGACCTCCGTCCACCCCACCCCACCCGACCCGACCCAGAACTGGCCGGAGAACGCAGGCGCAGGCGTGAGGCCTGGCTGGACGACGCCTGGGGGCGGGGCCGGGCGGGGCCAGGGCGGGGGCGGGGCCTGGGCTGGGGCGGGGGGCATGGGCGTGGTCTGGTTGGGGCGGGGCGGGGCCGGGGCGGGGCCAGGGCGGGGCGGGGCCGGGGGCGGGGGCGGGGGCGGGGCCAGGCCAGGGATGGTAGGCGGGGGCAGGTACCTGTCCCAAGGCAGGGACTTGCTGAGCAGCATGGGCACCACGGCGGGCGTGTTGCTGCCGGCCAGCGCGCACATGGCCTGCAGGGTCTCTTCCCTGGTGCTGGGCTCTAGCTGCATGTGCAGTCTCTCCAGGATGCCATCCACCACCTCGCTGATCTGCAGGAGACAGCAGGGGGGGGACCCCGGTGGGTGACTGTGCTCTCGGAGGGTCCCAGGACCAGGCCACAGGAAGCTGACCCTGCCCGCAGCCCACCCAAGGGGGTCCTGGGTCCCTCCAAAGGGACGAGAAACCCTGCGGGAAACAGAAAGTCCCCCCAGATACTTTAGGGCTTCCCCTACCCCATACACACCGCTCCAGCAACTGGGAGCAGCTTCTATCCCACAAAACTACAAGGACCCCTGGCGCTTGAGGGGTGGGGGACCGCAGGACAGCTGTGCACCCCCGTGAAGTCCACGTAAACGGAGCATTGGGTTCCCAAACGCTTGCCCTATAGAATCCTCTCTTTTTTTTTCTCGTCGGTCGTGGGGCCTGAACTCAGGGCCTGGGCGCTGTCCCTCAGCTCTTCAGCTCAAGGCTGGCGCTCTACCACTTGAGCCACAGCGCCACTTCCGGTTTTCTGGTGGTTTATTGGAGATCAGAGTCTCACGGACTTTCCTGCCCGGACTGGCTTCGAACTGTGATCCTCAGATCTCAGCCTGCTGAGTAGCTGGGATGACAGGTTTGAGCCTCCAGTGCCCAGCTGAGACCTTCTTTTGAAGTCCTTTTTTTGTTTGTGTGTGTGTCAGTACTGGGGCTTGAACTCAGGCCCTATGCGCTGTCCCTGAGTTTTTGTGCTCAAGGCTGGCGCTCTACCACTTGAGCCATAGCACCACTTCCATCTTTTCTTGGGTAGTTAATTGGAGATCAGAGTCTCATGGATTTTCCTGACTGGGGGGCTTCGAACTGTGATCCTCAGATCTCAGCCTCCTGAGTCACTAGGATGACCGGCGTGAGCACGGGTGCCTGGCTGAAGCCTTTTTCTGAGTGAAGTATAAATGCAGGTACTTGTGTAGCCTTCCCATCATTTCACATTAGGCTAAAAAGATCACACTGTCGGTCACTCCCGCTGTGTCTTCATGTCCAGTCTCTGTCTCCTGGTGCTGGCCGAGGCCCCCTGCCTCGTCACCCCCACCAGCTACGCACCCCTGAACCTAGCGAAGGGCCCTCAAGACAGGAGGGCGGCTCGGGACTCAGGACTGTACCTGTCAGGGCCGGCTAGCTCCGGAGCCGGGTGAGGACGCAGAGATCTAGATGTAGGGGTTCAGGTCCTGCCTCCCTGCTCCTGAGCCCGCAGGTGGAGGGCGGGGCATCTACCTTTATCACGTCTCTGCCTCGCTCCTTCATGACGGCGCTCATCAGCTGCGCGGCCGCCAGCGACATCTTCACCTTGCCGTCCGTCAGGCTCTCCATGGCAGTCAGCACCAGGTTGGTGACCTGGATCTGGGTGAAGTACTCGGCGAACGCCTGGCGGGGGGCCGGGCTGGACACCTGCAGCCCACGCCCGCCCGGCCCCCCGCTCCGAGCACCAAGACTCGGGAAGCACCCAAACAAATGCTTCCGGGGCCGGGCATGGCGGCTCCCGCCTGTCATCCCAGAGACTCAGGAGGCTGAGGTCTGAGGATCGCGGTTCAAAGCCAGCCCGGGCAGGAAAGTCCATGAGACTCTGATCCCCAATGAACCACCCAGGAAGAGATGGAAGTGGCGCTGTGGTTCAAGTGGTAGAGCGCCGGCCTCCACCAAAAAGAGGCTCGGGGACAGCGCCCGGGCCCTGAGTTCAAGCCCCCTGGACCCGCAAAAACAAGTTTCACCGCAGTGGTAGAGGACAGGGAGGATGGTGGAGCCCTGCCCTGGTCGTTGACAGGATGATCTGCAGGACCCCCCAACCCTGCCCTGTTCCCCCACCTGGCCTGGGCGCCCCCTCACCTTGGCAATTTTGTAGGTGTTGTTGTGGAACACGTGGGCGCTGTAGGCCACAGTCTTGTCCTCTTCCTCCCACGTGCCCTGCCTCTTCTTCAGCATCTCTGCAACACCGACCTCTGAGTCCAGGCCTAGCCCCAGACACGAGCGGAACCCCAACACAGAGCCCCAGACACAACCTGAACCCCGACACAGAGCCCCAAACACGAGCGGAACCCCGACACAGAGCCCCGGACACGAGCTGAACCCCGACACAGAGCCCCGGACACGAGCTGAACCCCGACACAGAGCCCCGGACACGAGCTGAACCCCGACACAGAGCCCCAGACATGAGCGGAACCCCAACACAGAGCCCCAGACCCAACCTGAACCCTGACACAGAGCCCCAGACACAAGCGGAACCCCAACACAGAGCCCCGGACACGAGCTGAACCCCGACACAGAGCCCCAAACACGAGCGGAACCCCGACACAGAGCCCCGGACACGAGCTGAACGCGAGCCAGCTTGGGCAGCACTGTGTGGTTGTCTGGTGGTCCTTGGTGGGGCAGGAGTTGCACATGGGCATTAGGATGGGAAATGCTGAATGCCCCCCACCCCCCGCTTGTCCCATGCCAACACCCACCTGGGCACAGGGAAGGTGCGGGGCCCCAAGAAAACACGATCTGTAGAGGTGAGGGAGAAGATTCCCCCACAGAGAGAGAGAGAGCGAGCTCAGGAAGCAGTGAGTGGGTGTGGCCAGGCCGAAGGGGGTCAGGGATGGGGAAGGGGAGGGAGAAGAGGGGGAGAGAAGGAAGGGGAGGGAGAAGGGAGGGGAGGGGCAGAAGGAGAGAGGAGGGGAGGGGAGGTGGCCTTACGCTTCTGCTGCAAGAGGATGCAGTAGAGGTTGTAGACGGCTTGGGAAGACAGGAAGGAGATGTTGTCCACCGAGTCCTGGCAGCGAATGGCCAACATCCTCACCAGCCGCCCCAGCCGGGCAAACTGAATCTCCACCTGGGAAGGAGCACCAACCGGAAGTCACCTTATCACCGCCCCTCCCAGGAAAGGGCTGCAGGTGGGGGGAGGGGGAACCTGTGGGCCAGAGACAGGAGAGGCAGGACTAGGGGGCGTGGCAGGGCCCCCATACAGGAGAGGCAGGACTAGGGGGCGTGGCAGGGCCCCCATACAGGAGAGGCAGGACTGGGCGTGGCATGGCAGGGCCTGAGGCCCTGGGTCCCAGCTCCAGAACCAATGTGGGTGGGTGGCCCGGTGGATGGTGGATAGATGGATGGATGCTGGTGCCGGCAGCTCCGGCCTGTCATCCAGCTACTCAGGAGGCTGAGATCTGAGGAAGAGGGTTCAAAGCCAGCCTGGGCAGGAAAGCCCCTGAGACTCCTATCTCCCATGAACCACCAGAAAACTGGAAGTGGCGCTGTGGCTCAAAGCGGTAGAGATCTAGCCTTGGCCCTGACTTCAAGTCCCACAACCAACAGCAACAACAACAAAAAAGATGGATGGCTAGATGGAAAGATTAAATAAGTGCTAGAGAGACAGAGGGATGGATGAGTAGATATTAGGAAGATGGATGGACAGATGAATGGAAAGAGATAAATGACAGGTACATAAAAGACACAGTGGAAGACTCGATGATAGACTGAATAGACAGCTGAGTAGGTAGATGAGCACATAGCTAAAATCGACAGATAGATAGATATAGGTGATGGATGAGTGAATAGCTTAGATATAGACAGAGAGATATAGATGGACGGAGAGCTAAGGATGGTGGATGGGTAGATATAGATAGAGGAGTTTATAGATGGAGATTAGATAGAGGAATTCATAGATGGAGATTAGATAGAGGAGTTCATGGATGGAGATTAGATAGAGGAGTTCATAGTTGGAGATTAGACAGATGAGGGATGAGGGAATAGGTTAGATACTGATGGATGGATAGATGGATGGTCAAATGAGTAATTAAGATAGATTCATAGGTAGATAGATAAATGAGCGCATAGATGCATAGATTAGATAGGCAGGCAAAAATGATGGATGAGGGAATAAGATGGATGGATGGATAGGTAGATGAGTACATAAATGGGTAGATTAGATTGACAGATAGATGATGGATGAATGAATAGATATGATGGATGGGTGGAAGGATAGAGAGATGAATGAATAGATTAGATACATATAGATAGGCAGGTAGATGAATGAGTGCATAGATGGATAGATGAAACAGGCAGACAGAGATAGATGATGGATGAGTGAATAAGATAGCTGGATAGATGGATGCATAGATAGATGAGTACAGAAATGGACAGATCAGATAAGCATACAGACAGGTGATAGGTGAATGGATTAGATACTGATGGATGGATGACAGGCGAATGAGTAGATTAGATAGATACATATAGATAGGTAGGTAGATAAATGAGTGCATAGATGGATAGATTAGATAGGCAGACAAAATGATGGATGAGTGAATAAGATGGATGGATGGATAGGTAGATGAGTACATAAATGGATAGCTTAGATTGGCAGACAGACAGATGATGGATGAATGAATAGATTAGATACTGATGGATGGACGCAAGGATAGAGAGATGAATGAATAGATTAGATACATATAGATCGGTAGATAGATGAATGAGTGCATAGACAGATTAATAGGCAGACAGAGATAGATGAATAAGATAGATGTGAGTGAGTATGATAGAGTGAATAAGATGGATGGACGGACGGACAGACATAGACAGACGGGGCCACCCCGCACAGCACCCACACACATCCTGGAACTGATGTTGAGAGGAAGGCTCGGGCTGAGCCTCAGGGAGGGAGGGTGGGGGGGAGAGGGGGGAGGGACAGAACAAACAGGATGGATCATGGGAGAAGAAGGCTAAGTGGCCAAGGCGGCAGGTGTGATTCACGGGACGGCACGTGTCATCCGTGTCATGCGGGGCCCGTGTCCCGCCGTGACCGTGTCGTGCAGGTTCAGAGGGGGGCAGCAGGGCTGGCGGCAGGGACTCCACTCACTTCAAAATTATTCATCTGTGCCGTAAAGCCCAGAACACGGGCGGTAATCCACATGGCGCGCTCCCGTTCGTTGTCCTTGTGTGAGTTCAGCCAGGGGTCCAGCATCTGGAGGGAGAGGGGAACAGGCGGGGCTCGATCCGGCAGCCGGAAGGAGAGAGGCCTGACCAGCTGCTTCCCAAACAGCAGAAAGCCAGGTGGGAGCCCGGCTGCCGCAGGCTGGCAGGGCCGTCGCTCTGAGAGCCCGGCCACCTTGGTCTAGAGGTCGAGCCCGGCGCCGGGTGCCTCCGTTTCCCCAGCCCCGCGGGACTTGCGTACATTGGGGTTCTAGACCCTGACTCCATGACCTGCTGTGCAACCTTGGCTGCACGCGCCCCGTTTTCTCCTGGACCAGCGTGTGGGCCCTGCAGCTGGTGGCTGCACACAGTCCGTGACTTTTCTCTGAGCACTCCAACATACTTCAGAGAGACGGACATAGCTCAGACCGCAGCTCTGCTGCCTCTCCCCTGCACGGCCTTCCTCCTCCATCCCCTTCCTGCCAGCTCAGCCCCACCGACCACGGGGGACAAAGGCTCTGTCCACTCAGGATCCCACTGGGCGCCCGGGTCTGGAAGGAGGGCTCTGAAAACCGGCCAATAGAAAGTGAGTTCAGACTGGAGTAGGAGGGAGCTGTGTGCTCGGGCTGCTGTCTTTGGAAAGAGGTGATCACACACGTGTGTGTGTGCGTGTGCACACACATGAACAGACATGTGCACAAATGCACCCACACACACATCACACACAGACAAGACACAGACACATAAGAATGTGCTGTGGAATCAGGCACCTGTGGCTCACGCCTGTCATCCCAGCTACTCAGGGATCTGAGGATCACAGTTCAAAGCCAGCCTGGACAAGAAATTCCGTGACTCTTTTTTTT